TTTTGTTATCCCTTTACACCCCAACTCAGCCACAAGTGACCCAGCCCAGGACACTCCTTTATTCTCAAGATCTGAGACTGCCTTCTCCACCCAGACATTCCAGTTTTGAACTCAGGTTGTTTTTGTTTTGCCGCTAACTGTTCCTAGGATTTTTCTCTTGGTGTTTAAGTCTCAGCAGCCTGATTGAGATGTGCTTAGATTAGATTTTCTTTGTATTTATTCTATTTTGGCTCCTCGTAGCTCCTTGAACCTGTGGGTTGATGTCTTTTGTCAAATTTTAAAACTCTTAGCCATTATCTCTTTAAATAATGCTTTTGCTCCATTATCTCTCCTTTCTGGAAATCTAATTACGTAACTATGCGACTTTTCCACCACATATCAAATGTGCCCCGTGTTGTTGTCTATGTCTTCTACCCACTTCTCACTCTGAGTTTTAATCTGGCTATTATCTTCCAGCTCATTATCACTTTACATCTGCCTATTTGCTATTAAATGCATCTCTATAGTTTCAATTACTATAGTTTACATTTAAAATTTTTTTATTTCATTCCTTATTTTCTATTCTCTGTGTTGTTTCCTTTCTTGTTATTTATTTCCTTGAATGTATTAGGTTTTACAATTAAATTAAAACCAGTGTTTGATAACTCTAATTTTAGCATTTCCCTGTGATTTTGATTCCACTATATGTTATTCCTACTATTTTTGGTCATTTGATCTTGACTCCAATTACTGTATATTCCTGGTAATTTGATATTTCATGCTGGACATTATATACAAAAACTAATAGAGGCAGTTTGCATTTGAGTATTTTAATACCTGATAGTAATAGTATTACTTTTATACAAAATCTGCTCTCTCATTCTCTCTCTCTCCTTTTTTTTTTTTTTTAGAGAGAGAGAGAGAGAGAGCACACATGATTTGTGGGGAGGGGCAGAGGGAGAAAGAGAGAGAAAATCTTAAGCAAGCTTCTCGGCCTGTGTGATGCCTGATGCAGGGCTCAATCTCACAATCCTGATATCATGACCTGAACTGAAATCAAGAATCAGATACTTAACCGACTGACCCACCCAGGCACCCAACAAACTTGATAAACTTTGTAGCTAGCTTCACCTCTTAATGCCTTCTCATAAACCTTGGTAATATTATTTGTTTACTAGAATAACTTTATAAGGTTTTAGGCTAAGATTTATCAAGAACTGACATCTTTATGATTTTCAGTTTTTCCATTCAGAAATATAGCATAACTCACTATTAAATTTTTCTGTTATACCTCTTTTTAATTATTATGTTAAGTTAGCCACCATACAGTACATAATTAGTTTTTCATATAGTGTTCAGTAACTCATTAGTTGTGTATAACACCCCGTGTTCATAAGGAGGGCACAAGTTGTGATGAGCGCTGGGTGTTATACCTCTTAGTAAAGTTTCTCTTGTACGTTCTGCACATTTTCTCAGGATTATTAATGGATACTTTATTTATTTGTCTTGTATTCTTAGAATAGAATTTTATTGTTAATTATTTTGACTATTGCTGCTGGTATCCAAGCCTATTATCTATTTTATATTTGGTAAGTTTTGTTAAGGGTTATAGTTACTTCTAATGGCTTGTTTGAAGTGCAGAATTTCTTAGAGACACTAATATTCCAGTATGCACTGTCAATATCCATGGTGTTGATTTAATGTGTAACATTTCCAGTTATGTGTTCTGGAAAACTTTTATTTTTAACATACCAATTAAGATTAATATCTCATGGAACATGTATTCTGTGGACACTATTCAGAAAATGTTTCAACAGACCTTTTCACTGGAATGATTTATGGTCCTTTATGATTTAACCATTAACAAATGAAATCCCCACCTTGCAAATCTGTGATATACTACAGTTTCTATCTGAGATTATACACATATCTTTAGCATGTTCATTCTGTTGCTTTATATTTTAACTGTTTACAAATGTTTGATACTAAGATTAGTCTAGATTATGAATTATGTTGACCTTAACTCTTTCCAGGCTATAGAAATGAAATGATGCCATGAATGTGACACATGATACTTCATACTCAGTTTTTATACATCAATCACAGGAAATACCACTAATCAATCACAGAGCCCTTTCCTTTTGATTCAAGATGTAGCCTCAGAATCCTTTACAATTATGTTTTATAGGAAGACATAGAAAGAGATCAGAAGTGATGCACAAGATAAAAATTGTGCTATTCTTGCAATAATGTTTGTCCGTTAGATGACTGTTATTAAATTGTTTTATTTTCTATTTAATAAATACCATTAATGTTTGGATTCAAATCTAAACATTTTTATTTATTTATTTATTTATTTATTTATTTATTTATTTATTGACAGAGTGTTTTGGGGGGGGGTGGAGCACGGCAGAGGGAGAGGGAGAGAGAAAATCTCAAGCAGACTCCATACTGAGCACAGAGCCCAATGTAGTGCTTGATCTCACAACCCTGAGATCATGACCTGAGCCAAAATCAAGAATCAGATGCTTGGGGTGCCTGGGTGGCTCAGTCTTTAAGTGTCTGCCTTCGGCTCATGTCATGATCCCAGGGTCCTGGGACTGAGCCCCGCATTGGGCTCCCTGCTCTGCGGGAAGCCTGCTTCTCCCTCTTTTACTCCCCCTGCTTGTGTTCCCTCTCTCTCTGTGTCTCTCTCTGTCAAATAAATAAATAAAATCTTAAAAAACAAAAAAGAATCAGACACTTAACTGACTCTTGATTAAGCATCACCCAGGCCACCTTGGCATCCCAAATTTAACCAATTTTATAAAAATTAAGTTTACTTTTTCACCTCTAGTCCTCTGACATTTTCTGTTTTGTTTTGTCTTGTTGTTTTGTTTTGATATGTTAACTTTCCTCTTCTTGATCGATTAATTTTGATTCATTTCTTGGTTCACTAACATGAATTTTTAGGCCATTATTAAAAGGTTATGAAAGTGGTACATTTTCCTTGAATACTTGGAAATGTCTTTTTATAGGCTTCATATATGAATAAAACAGTGGCACATCACATTCTTTAGTCATATCTTTTGCATTAGAAATTCTGTAGATGCTGTTTCTGCTTTTTTCCCCTCATAATACTGTTACAGAGGAAAGCTGTGAAATAATGATATGTATTAAACATTTGTGGGTAATCAATTTCTTCATTTTTTTCTTTTTTTTTCTTGATACTTACAAGAGTTTTTGTTGCTACCATCGTCTCTGTAATTCAAACATCTTACCAAGGTTGGTCTGGTAGATTTCTGTTCATTAAGTTTGCATGAATATAAGTGTACTCCTATATTAGTTCAGAAAAATTTTCATCAGTTTTGACTTTACATATTACTTCTGTTCTATTGCTTTGTTTTCTTCCCCTAGAACACCTATAATGCGTGGCCAGCCTTTTGTCTCTATCCTCCAGAATTACCATTTTCTCTCCACTCTTTCATCTCTTTGCCCCTCTCTTTAGAAAGCTACTAAAGTTTCTCCTGGTTTCCACTTCACATCATTGATCCAATTTTAAACAATGTGAGACTTATTCTTTACTGATATACAACCAATTTTTAGAATGTGTGGGTTTAATTGGGTACAAGAGTCAATAAGCCCTAAACCCTGTCTTCAAAATATTGGTAGAAATAAAAAAAAAGAAATATACATGCAACCCAACAAATAGACTCAACAAAGAAAGAATCTCAATAAACAGACATAAAATATTTCATAAAAAAAAAACCTAATGAAAATTCTGGAGTTGAAAAGATAGTAAAAACTATCTTTTCCCTAAAGGGAAATTTTCCCTAAAGGGTTAAACAGCAAATTGAGATGGTAGAAAAAAAGATTCATTAATCTTCAAAACAGAGCAATAGAAATTATTCAATATAACAAAGATAAAAGATTAAAGAATGAACAAACTCTCAGGGACCTGTGATACAACATCAAGTATATCAATATATGGGTAATGAGAGTCCTAGACAAATATGAGAGAGGAAAAAAGAACATTAAAATTATTTGAAGAAACAGTGGCTAAAAAGTCCCCAAATTTATTAAAAGTATTGATCTACAGATCTAAGAAATTCAATAAATTCCGAGTTGAGCAAACACTAAGAGATGTACACTTAGACACATTTAAATTTTTAAAAGACAAATATGAAGAGAATTTTAAAAACATCAAGATAAAAAGGACTCATAATGTACAAGAGAAAAATAAACAAGGATATCTTCTCATCAGAAACAACAGAGGTCAGAAAGCAATGAAAGGAACTATTCAGAGTGCTAAAAGAAAAACTGTCAAACCAAGAATTACACACCCAGTAAAATTATCCCTAAAAAATAAAAGAAAAAAAATAAAAAGCATTCCCAGCTAAAGGAAGACTGTAAGAATGTGTTGGTAGAAGATCTGCCTTACAAGAAGGGCTTAAAAACTCTTTCCAGCCCAAAGGAAGTAGCACCAGAAAGTAACTCAAATAGAGATGAAATAATGAACACTAGAAAAAATAAATATGTGGATAAATACAATACACTCTACAAACATACTTTTCTCATTACTTTTCTTAACTTCTCTAACAGACATAAGATAGTGTAAAAGGAGGACTGAGTGAAAAGAGGTGTGTATATTGTAATCCCTAGTATAATCACTAAGAAAATAAAATTTTAAAGTGTAGTAAAAAACAGAGAAGTTAAAATAGTGCATTAAGAATATTTATCTAAAGGCTCCTGTCTCACTCAGCCAGTAGAGCATTTGACTCTTGATCTCAGGGTCATGTGTTCAAGCCCCACACTGTGTACATGTGTACAGAGATTATAAATAAATAAACTTTAAAAAAAGAATATCTTTTTTTATCTAATGGAGGAAAGTTTGAGTGGAAGCAAAGTGAAGGATACAATAGGAACACAAGAATCAGTCAGGACAGAAAAGCCCAAGTGACATACAGAAGTGACAGAAGCAGAGAGATCCCAGGGGTCAAGGTGCCAGAAGGCTCTTCAGGAGATGAGGTCATCTCTGGTAGGACCAGTCCAGAGTTGGCTTCCAACACCACAGAGTTTCTTCAGGCCAGACGACTTCAGCTTCTTGAGACAGCCCCACTGTCTAGCACTGCGGCCTTCTCTTCAGAGCCTCTGGAGCCGCTGTCAACCAGGCTTCCTCCCAGGGCCCAAATCCCTGGCCTCAGGCCCCATCAAGATCCCCACAAGACTGGACTGAGGCACTATGTGAAACTCTTTAGCTTCTGCACTAAGATGCCCATGGAGAATAAGGCTCTTGAGATGGTGGAAGAGTGCCTGGACAAGTATTTCCAGCATCTTTATGAAGACCTGGAGGTGTTTGCTATGCATGTTGGCTGCAAGACTATGAGGCCAGAGGACCTGGAACATCTGATGCAACGGCAGGGCCTGGTCGATGACCAAGTCTCCCTATATGTGCTTGTGGAGCGGCACCTGCCCCTGGAGTACTGGCCACTGTTCATCCCTTGTGCATTCACTGGCAACTCTGTCTTTCCTGCCCAGCAGTGGCCAGGCCTCAACACCCACCCAGTGCCCACCTGCGGTCACTTGGCTCCACGTATTCTTCCAGGCTTCCTCCCCACCTCCCCAGCATCAATACAGTGAATTAAAAAAAAAAAAAGGAATATTTATCTAACACAAAAGAAGGCAGTATGAGAGGAACAGAAGAACAAAGACATGAGACAAGTAGAGAACAGATCTTCAAAACTGGCAGTCATAAATCCATCCTTTGAATGAATACATTAAATGTGAATGGATGAAACACCCCAGTCGAAAGGTATGAATTGTCAGGCTGGATTTAAAAAAATGAGACCCAAATATGTGCTGTCTACAGAAAATGCACATTAGATTCAAAGAGACATATAGGAAATAAAAAAGATGAGAAAAGATATAACATGCCAACAATAACCATGAAAACAATGAGATGACTTTACTAAGAACAGATAAAATAGACTGCAAGAAAAAAAAATAGAGTTAAAGACAAGGAGAGATATTTCATAATGACAAAAGGGTCAATACATAAGGAAAGTATAACAATTATAAATGTATATGCACTTAATAACAGAGTTAAAAACATATAAAGCAAAAACATACAGGAATGAAAGGAGAAATATTCAATTTGTCAATAATAGTTGGAAACTACAATGACCCTATTTCAATAATTGATAGAACAATTAATCAAGAAATTAGCAAAAAATATACAAGATTTGAAGAGCATTCTCCACCAACTCAACCCAACCAGCACTCACAGGACACTCTTAACTGACATTTGCATTCTCATGGAATGCAGAGAACATATTATTTTCAAGTACTCGTGAAATATTATCCAGGATAAACCATATTCTGGGCCACAAAACAACTTCAATAAATTTAAAAATTGAAATCGTATAAAATATGTTCTCTGAGCACAATAGAATTAAATGAAATCCATAGCAGAAAGAAATCTGGGAAAACCCCAAACATTTGGAAATTAAGCATCATAACTTTAAATAACCAGTGGGTGAAAAAAAATCATGAGGGAAATTTTAAAATATTTTTAATTTTAAGAAAACGAAAACACAGACATCAAAATTTATGGGATACAGTTCAAACAATGCTTACAGGGAGATTTACATCTTTAACATGTATATGAGAAAAGCAGAATGACATGAACAACTAAGCTTCTGACTTAAGAAACTAGAAAAAAGGAGAGCAAACTAAACTCAAGTAAGCAGAAGGAAGAGCTCTTGCCACGTGATGACACTATCCTGGGCATCGAGGGGTTTCATGGTGTAATCTAGGATGGAATATAAATCATGGATCTGTGCACATTTTCTCCAATGGGCCAGGGAGAAGAGTTTCAGCTCTTTGAGCTGTAGGATCTCTGTGGCAGCTACTCAACTCTCTGAAAGCAGCCATAGAGAACTGCTTATAAATTAAGGACCATCCTTAGCTTACAGATGGAATACAAAAAGGCTGTTAGCCAAATTTGGCCCATGGGCCAGTTTTTGCCTCTCTATATAGATGATAAACTGATTTTTTCTAAAAAAAAAAAAAAAAA